GACCCTAATGTCAAATCCTAGTCAATCATCACCTCACCTATCTGTCCGTACAACTGCATTCTACCACCATCACAAGACCTCTCAACCAAATTACCATTCCTATCCCTCCAAATCCCAGTGGATACTCTGGTAACAAACCCTCTCGCCTCATCCTCATAGAACTTGGGGCAATCATCAGAGAAGTGTTTGCCTTTCTTACAGTACAAACACTTCTCAGGCTTCTTCTGTGTCGTCTTTTCTTCTTCCTGCGAGAGTACTGAGGATGAAATTGCTGTAACTTCGCTCGTAACCTCCTGCTGGGGAGTCTCAGATGGTGTGGGGCAGGCTGCTCTCTCCTCTGTCTGTCTCGCTGGCCCACTCGTTCGCACTGCTGAACCAGACCATGTGGCCCACGAGCCCAATGCCTCCTCAAAATTTGCTACCAAGGGCGTACCCTGAGGCATGGTAGAGTCCTGACAGGTCTCTTGGCCTATTCCCTGCTCAGCCTCAACCTTGCTCCCCTGGATCATCTGCCCCTCAGCAACCATCCGATCAATAGGCAGTGCCCCCTCATCTCTCACCAGCTCTGCCTGCTGTGTCACATCCAGCCCCCTTCGAACCTGCTGGAGTGTCACAGTGGACGACATCTGCCACTCAAACTCCTCACTCTTGGCTTTCCCTTCCATGTGCATCTTCTGAGGCTGCAGCATCTGTTTATCCAGCAGGGGCACATCTTCTCCATCTGTAGATCGCCCTTTTCTTCCTCCTTCTGATTTCTAAAGGCTTCCTCTGTAGGTGGCCTCTTCATTTCAAATCCTTGGACCTCAGTCCAATCCACCAAAGTTGTGGGAACCCTCTGCTCGAGCTTCGCTTCCAGCTCCTTAATTCTCTTCTCCCACTTTACCTCCTTTGTCTGGAAGGAAGCTTGTTAAGCCTGTAGGTAGGCCCTCAGAGCCTCGTTGACCTTGTCGAGGGTCTGGTTCACTTGCCTGATCGCCTCATTGCCAGCCCAGGCCTTTTTCAGTTCCACCTTCTTCGCGTCTAGCTCGCGGTCCTGTCTCTCTTGGTTCTTCTTCAACTCTTTGACCACCTGCTCCCATTCCACCCCTTGACTATAAGCCTTCTGTGCCACCTTGGTCAGTCTCTCTCCAATCTTTTGATCTGATGCTCGTGCGGCTGCAAATCCTTCCTTCATTACTCCCTTCAATATGAGCAAGTCTGCAAAGACCAACTTCACCCCCATCTCTTGTTGAGGTCCCTCTGGTCCTCTCGCAGCTCCCATCAACCTATCAAAGTTCTCCCACGCTTCAGAGAGTAGAGGAGGGTCTTCTTCCTGCTGGCTGCTCACACTCTTTCCCTTTCTGTCTTTCAAGTCCACTGGCCGCTCTCCCTGTTCCACTTTCCTGTGGAGTTCCTCCAGGTTCTTCCTCCTGACTTCTGCTCTGATCTCCTGTTCCCTGGTGGCCCTTTCTTGTCTGTCCAATTCCTTTTGTCTGGCAGCCTAGTCCTCATCCATCCTCTGTCCTGTCAGCTCACAGGGTGCCTCTGGTCCTGTTTCTGTCATAGCCTGATCCTCTGGTCTCTGAATAGACTGAGGAGGAGCCTCAGGCACCTCTGACTCCCTCCTCTCCTGATTCCTCTTAGCCGGCAACTCCTCTCCTCTCTCCATCCTGTGGGAAGCATGTTCCCTTCTTCTCTCACCCTCCTGAGAACTGGACGAGGCACCTCTCTCAAAAGTCAGCCTGCCTTCAGCCTCAGGCTCCTTCCTTTTCTTTCCCATACTCTTTCTCTCCTCTGCTTGGCGTGCTGGAGTGTAGTAGCTCCTCAGTAGTCGTCTGCAGTCTCCCCAATGCAACGCTCTCTCCACAACACTCCTGACGAACATTCTGATATACCTCTTCACAAACTGGAGGAATCCTCTCACTCTGGTCTCTGGTACAATGTTCTGCTCGTCCGCAAACCGGTCATAAGCCCACAATAACTCATCAAAGTTCGTCCCATCAAATCGGATCGGTACTCCATCTCTCCCCACGATTTATGGGTGCAATCCCTCCATCCTTCTCTCGAACTCCTGCCAGGTCACTGACTCCCGTACATAACTGGCAATGGGCTCAGCCCACTCGCCCTCTCCTCGTACCTCTCGCAACATCCTAGCTCCATTCCATCCAAACTCGCTCACGTGCCGTTGGAACTCGATCAGAAATAGTTCGACGTTCCCTCCTGTGAAGATGGGTGACCTGTCTTCTCTCCTGGTCCATCCCTGCACTCTCTGTCTAGCTGCCCCCTGATGGGGTTCCACTGACCCTGCCCCTCCCTTCCCTCTTGGCATGGCTGCGCCAAAATGGTGTCAAGCCTACACAATAAGGAAGAGACAAGCAAAAGCATACAGAGGGTAAGTAGGTTTTGGCAACACAGTGAGAGACATACACATCCCATCCCATCTAACCTATCCATCCGTATATGCATACATACACATAAATACCTATTCCAATTCTATAGTCTGCCATGCCATCCTAGCGACTATCCATACAGCCTAACTAATATCTCTACTAAGCAAAAAAAACTTAGCAGGAAGGGACTTCTAGCTTGTGAGATTTAGACTCACCTCATCTCGAGCAACAAACTTCTTTAGCCTCGAGCCTGACACCCAATCTCTCCAGGCTGTTCCATCAATTTCCTCAATCTGGTACGCGCCATGCTCTCCAACTCTTGCCACCTTGTACGGTCCCAACCACCGCTTATCCAACTTCCGTGACCATTGTTTCTCCAAGAATGAGTCGTACAACAACACCGTGTCTCCCACTCTGAATGACTCCTTCCTCACTCTTGTCATCTTGTCCCACCTGAACTTATCCTGTGCCCGGTTATATGCCACCTTACTCGCTGCTCCTTCAATCCTATCTTCTATGGCTCCGATCTGACGCGCCCTTAGATCGAGCAGTTCCTCGAACGTCAACTCTGACTCGAGGTCCTGCCGCCTCCATGTCTTCAGGAAGCTCTCGATAGGGAACGTTGCATGCCTGCCATACCATAGCGTGGCTCGCGCATAACCGGTGCTCCTCCTCACAGTGATGTTGTCTACAAAAAAAAAACACTTAAAAAAAATCAGGCCACTGATTTGGCCTCCCACTGGTCCATTTTGCCAGAAGGTTCGAGATGGTGTTGTGCCCTCTCTCCACCAGTGCATTTGCTTGAGGGTGTGCTGCAGTAGTATACTCAGCAATCACCCCGTATCTCTTCAAGAGTGCTTTTACCTCTGCACTGGTGAATTCAGACCCCCTGTCCATGACAAATTTGGAGACAAAGGGATATCGGAGGTAATATTCCTCGATGCATCGCGCTAGCGTTTCGCCAGTCTTGGTGCGAATAGCCCTTCCGTCCACAAACCCGGAGAGGTTATCGCGTGCATCAAATATGAAGTTAAATCCCCCTATCCCCAACGGCATTACTAGCAGGTCCAGATGTACGACGACTCCAACCTCACGAACGTATCTCGGGTGAAGCGGCTCCCTTGGCCTAAGAGAAGATCGCTCCTGACATGGGACGCAAGATTTGCAATAATCATTAATCATTTTCCCCATGTCATCCCAATAGTACAATTCGTGTATCTTGAGATACGTTGTGTCAGTACTCCTGTGCCCTCCAGCTGTGCCGTCGTGCAGGGCGGCCATGACATCGATCTGACGAGCGATGCCACAGACTACCCTCCTGGGATTCCTCCCCTTGCTCTTCATGAACAGGTGCCCATCCCTTACCAGAAAGCTCGGTCTCATCTTCAAGACTTTCTCGCTGGCATCTCTTTCTCTCATTTCGCACGAAAAAAACATTCCGAGTTCAAGATAAACCCCATCATACTCTTCTGCTCGAAAAACCTCCTTAATCTCGCCTTCTTCGAAATCATCGTCCTCCCCCTCATAGATCACATTCTCACCCCTTTCCTGATCCTGCCCAACGTTTCTGGCCACTTCCTCCTGCAACAAGGCATTGGCCAGGAGATAAACCCCTCCTACAGACCTTTCATGATCCTCCACCTGTCGGGCTCCATCCTCCATCGTGATTTGGTCCTCACCCAACTGGTGTTTGTCTGCCAAGGCCAGATCCATCATCCACTGCACATCCGGCAGTCCCCATGGGTCCTCGTCCACATAGGGTTTAAGGACTAAGTTTGGCAAGCATGCATACCCTGGAGGTGTCAGCCACACCGAACGTCCAGGAGTAATGTAGTTACCTACCGCCAAAGACCAAGAGTTGATGTGAAGTCTCACATCCTCCTCTTTGTAAAAAAAACCGTTGACTCAGGGAGTATCCTCGATCACTCCTTCGCTGTTYTTGCCCCAGTCGACTCGACTTAACCCATCCGCCCTATTTTTGTTCYATGGAATCCGCTCCACCTCAAAATCAAACATCCAGATGTATGTCAGCCATCTGGCAATGGTTGGATCTGAGGGAGCGTAGTTCT